GCATCAAAAAGTTTGTTTCAAGTATACAGGCTGCTTAATTTGCTCTTATTTACCTCACATCTTGATGACACATGTGTCGATATTAAAATATCAATTTCCTGTAATTATTTTTATTTAATCCAATTTGAATTTTTTGATGGATACTTTGAAGCAACTTATTAGTCCCTTCAAGCTTTCTCAGTCAATATTACTCGTAAACAAATGCCTCTAGTAATCCGCTCAGCACAAACCAGAAAGCTGTTTTGCATCCTAATAACCCCTCTCACTGCTGTATAAAGTTTGTCATTATGACTGCGAACACTCCTGCCGTTGACCCACCTGAATTTACACTCTTCGGTAACAGTAAGTTTTACGGATATTAATTAGTTCCAAGTTTTGAGGTAAATTTTGCTGAACAAGGTAAACAGTGTTTTAACATTTTTAAAAACTGTTCTCTGCTCTCTCATTCTAATTGTTTTACCTTCAATTTGATTACTTCCCCAACAAAGTACCATTTTTTCACTAATGCTACAGAGAATAAAAAATCAATAGAAGCAAAAAATAGAGATATTACCAAAACGACCTTTGATCTTTTCTTGAAACAAACGCCATTACTGACCACTAACCAACTTTCTGCAAATGAAATATTTGCTTCTTTAAAATGAATCTGGTGAGCAAACGACAAACTTTTTTTGATCATTGCCTAAAGCAGCATTCACATGAATGGCTTTAACGCGCTTCTAATTAGATTCAAGAGGGTGAAACAAACGAACCATGGCAATCACCAAAGTCAATCACAGTGTTAAGTTTAAAAGAACCCTCACCTTTTGAATATTTAGGCCATTTAGTGAATTAAATTACCTAAAAGAAAAGTGGTTAGTATGCTTGAAGAGATGTCTTATTAAAGCTTCGCTGCTTTAACAAAAGCCTGTCTCGTTAAGGCCAAAAAATAAAATATAACAAAAGAGAATGGCAAATAATACTTGTTTTGAATTTTTTTCTACTTGCCCTACCGCATAAAGTCCTTGCAGACTTCAAAAAACTTCATTAACATGTGCTGTATGCCTAAAGGAACAGTTTAAAATATTATAAAAAACTAAGTTAATACAAGTTCAGTGGGAAAAAAATTGGGCAATCGTCAACTGTTAACTGTTACTTCAATTGTTACTTATTGTCCAACCAGTTCATCCTGCGGCTTTTGCGCTCTTACGTTGCCAAAAAGAACTCTAATCTGGAAAAATAAATGCAACTATTTTAAGCTACTTTTTAAAGCTATTTAGTCATCTCTATGATCACAATCTGCAGAAAGTAACTGGGACTTACATTTCAGAAACAGCGGTAACCAGTTGATAGCTTGTTCATAACTAACCACTGCTTGAACGGCACAATAATCTAAAAATTGACCAAATTTATTCTTTCAATCTTCTAATGATTTTTAAACGTCACCTAATCTAAATAGAACTGTAACTTAATATTAACAATGTTGTACCCAAAAAATGATAGAAAATCGGGTGTATCAAATACCACCAAGGTTATCGCCCATCAAAAGTATGTTGGTATTGTTAGAAACAGTTTTGCATAAATCATGCCCTCCCTCAATTACAGATGAATCTTGACAAAACATATGAATTAAAGGTTCCACAAACTCCACAGCGACCAAAAACCTGAGAGTCTTTTACATGATTTCACTATGAAAATTAAGTAATCTGCAGACAGATTATTAAGCTGATTTAATTAGAAACAAAAAGATTCCGTAAGCGACGACCTACATCCAAATTTTACCTACCAGCATATTAGAAATAAGATGACTATTTTTTGTCTACGCTCCGCTCCTTTTTTTCATTAATACTCCAATTGACATTTTCAATCCAGGCAGAAAAAATGAACAGCGGTACACTGTAATAAGGTAACTGTGACAAGAGCACATCAGCACTATCTCTAAAGCAAAAACTGTCGAGAATGATTAATTGCTTTAGCAGTCAACAACTTACGCCAGCGGCTGAATACTCGAGATATTTAAAAAATCTTTACAATGCGGCGTTACAAGCAGCCGCCGCAGAAGAACAGTCAATTGGTGTTTTCCGCGTAGAACTTCGCTCGCAGCCTTTCAACTACAAATCAAGGAGACAAACTTATCAGTGGTCAATGATACAGGTTGCTTAAACATGATGTGCAAAGGAAAACGAGTTAAATAATCATAGAAATACCAAATGAAATACAACAAAGTTTACTGCAAACTCATAACTACCAAACTAATGAAAACTTCAGTAACGAAGTGATAAAAATTTTGGTGTCAAAAGAGGTGTTGCAGTAATGTAGTAATTCACTGGAAAAAAAACTAGCGCTGCAATACTCTATCTTTCGAAATACATTGGTTCCAGGCACATACAAAAGATGAAGTTTCAAAAATCGTTTTTGGACTGGCAGTGCCAATAGACTAAATAAAAATAAACTGCTAGTTTGCCAATAAAAAATCAATTGTTTTGTACAGCTTTATTCTAAACAACCCGAAAATTGATAAATTATATCAAAAATCCGTACGTAAGAGTTTTGTCTGGTATATTTCTTCTACCAACTTCGCAAATATATTTCTCTCTAGACCAATAAACAGTAATTTGTAGAGGATGGCTTGGCCACAAGAAAGATTGCTTTTTTATTTTTGACCACACCAGCCGACTAAAAAGAGCTGTTCAAAAATACATCATATGTTACTCTTGTTCTAAACTATCATTATAACTTCTTAAGTCTCCTGTGAAAAACAACTGGAGCCACTCGTCTTAAGATCTCCAACGCTGCCCACATCAGCGTAGCAGCAAAAAAAAAAAAAAAAAAAGTTTTGCGCTGCTATTGCGCTGAGTAGTTCATCCAAAAAACGTTAAAATTAAAAGGAATGCAGTGCCAAGAAATCAGGAAAACTAACTTAAAAGACGCTATGGTATTAGGATCTAACAACCAGATTGTCAGTCGGAAAAAAATGAAAAAAATGAAGGCGACAAAAACATCGCCGGTTTGACAAATAAAAGAACCCATGCACAACTTCTCAACGAAGTATCCATTTCATCCGCTAAATTCCGCGCTGACTTCCGAATAGCTTACACGCTTACATGACCACGTACTAACTTATTCATTCGTTGTAAATTTTCGGGTTGTCCTAATAAAAAGTAATACTGCAAACCACAAATTGATTCCCCGAAACTCTCTGCAACTACTTCCTTTTGAAAAGTCTTTCTAACTCCAAAGTTCTTTGGTGCTGAATTCCCAAACCTGAGAAAAAAAAATGCAAAAATGAAAAAAAAAA